ATAATTAGTTACACATTACTAATAATTTAATATGAAATCCATTCGAAAAATTGTATAAGAAAATTATTAAATCAAGTTGAAATACTTTATAATTCAATATGTAAAAGATATACTTTTATTTCCTCTAATAAAATGATAATCTAATTAATTATAATTAATAAATATTAAATATTGAGAAAAGATTAATACCTGTATGTTAGTATAAAATGATAATAAACTCAAAAAAAGTGACAATTCCTGTACAAATCCTTGAATTGAATAAACATAAAAGAATTTATAGAAAATATCTTAAATTTGTCCTGTAAAATAGAGAAGTTTTAAGGTTATGTTACAATACACTCAGTGAAAAATAGGTTAAATCGTTTTAAACCAACCATTTAAACCAATAGTAATAATGAAGTAATTAACTTCATTAGTAATACATAAGTAAACCATTTTTCCTCTAATAAATATTATTTGACTTTATAACATCAAAATTATAATAATTATATTTGAAATCATGTTTTTTAATAAACATTTTTTAATTATATCTAGAATTTCCTTGGAACAGAGAGATAATATAAGCAAACATTGCATAAATTAATTTTTAAATTAGTTTAGATTAATAATTAAATAAATGTAAGCCAGACAAATTATGAAAATACATAATACACATGAAATCACACGTTTAATTAATCAAAAGATAAAAGTATATATAATAATCGTACAAAGATATAATTAATAAAACTTATGCCATTATTTGCAGGAATGAAAAAATAATAATTCTTAAATAAAACTTGTTCTTTTCTATCTATTTATATAAGTTTATAAATGTACATAATATGTATTGACATGATTAGATAATACTATTATCGAAAGCATGAATTATACTCACAAATTACATTCACAATAATAACTTCTCAATTACAAGAGTAGCACACGTACGATAAAAATGCTTTTGCAATACAGATCGCTGTATTGTACTGTATTTCAACCAGTGCTACCAATTATTCATGTACAGAAATTTCTATACTATTTCAAATTTGCATGTAGAAGTTCATAAAATAATTTAGCAAAGAATTAATAGTAAATAAACGAATTGCAATATTTTCAGTATAAATCCAATAATTTACAAAATTTTATGTCATAAGAACAGAAATAGCGATCGCGAAATAAATGTTTTTTTTCTCATTCTATAATTTAGGGATTTAGTTTTACGATCTGCTATTAAAATTAAAACTAATAAAATAAAATTAAAAATATCGTTTATCTTTCCATTCAATACTTTTTTATACTTTAAGGTTTCTATAAATAAGAATATCTATATTTCTAATTAATAATCACTGTTTAATTTCTGAAAATTACATCTTTAAATTAAGTGGATGAGTCATTTTTAAGATGAAAACTAGATTACTAGATATGAAGTTGAAATAAAATATGAAACTGCATAAATTATTGCATATCATTACTATAACTCGACTAGGTAACTTTTTTTAACATGTTTAGTTTTATTTTCAACAATTATTATCCATATGGTTTATCATATTGTACATATTCTGTTATTGATGGTTTTTTAGTAAATTAAAATAATGAATAACAGCATCATTTTTTAAAATAATGAATCTGGAAATATTCAATACATGTTACTTATATTATTAAACACAAACTTATATTTTACAAATGATATGTGAAAATAATAAAAATAATTTAAATATTTGCTGCATCAATTACTTTTATTATATCAAAAAGGATGCTACTTTATTTATTTATATTACAAGAGTATATACCTTAATAAAATAGTGATATTTTAATCACTAGTAGCTTGATTATCATCTTCTCTTCCACTTTCTGAAGGACTTCGAGAATTTGACTCTTCATCTGAATCTTTGAGAACCTTTCCTTTAATATTTTTCTTTGGTCTTAACGTTTCAAAGTCTGAACCTTCTTCATCTGATGAATATATATTTGATGCTAAATATAAAAATATATAAGTACCTATTAATTTGTTTATTTTATTTTAAATAAGCATAAACTTACCTTTAACGGGTACATTCATTCCTTTCTTATATTTATTCTTAATTGCTGCGAGAGAAATAGCACCTTCATCATCTGAACCATCATCATGATAAGCATTAGCTCCATAACCACCAACGGATCTTCCAGTGGTTCCCCTACTTGCAGTACTCTTTTTCGTTTTGCTTTGAACTCGCATTGCCATACGCAATTTTTCTTCTTCTTTCTACATAATAAGAATGATAATAATAATAATAAAATTTAAATGCAGAGTTATATATAAATTTTTATGATAAAATGAAATTAAACAAACATAATTCACCTTAATCATTTCATATCTATTTTGATCTGGATTAATTCCCACTTGAGATAGTACTTTTATACCAGAAGTTTTTTGTGATCTATCTGCTAAAGACATTGTCATCTTTCTATGAGTGAAGGATTCTGTAGAATGCGGACGGAATGTCAATTTAGTTCGAAATACTGCTTGTCCTTGAAGACCAGTTCCTTGTCGAATATACAGGTGATTATGATCACCTTGAAGTGGTTGTTTGTACACATCAAAAATCTCTGAACCCAGATGTAGGGACATGCTACCATCAGACCACTTTACAAATCTGGCATTACTTTCTTTAACAACTTTACCCTGTTCATCAAAAGTTTCTTTCCAACGAAGAGTATTTTCAACTTTTAATTTCAATCGAGCTCTACCTTCTTCATCCAAAGTTTCTTCTTCATCAATTTCATCTTCATATGTTTCTGTATCAAATGGTCGTGTTTCCACTGAAAGGAAATTTGGAAGTTTTACAAAATGTATTTCACGACCTAAATCTGTGGAGATTTTTGGAATTTCTACGTCAATTCTTGTCTCTGGTGGAGGTTCTGGTTCTTCTTCTTTTTCTTTATCTATATCCTAAAAATAACAAGTTATAAATATCTTTTGTTTATGAAAAATCTTTCAATCATACATAATTAATATTTTATATATACATCCTCAATAACAGCTTGACTAGGGCCTTCACCGCCACTGTCGGATCTTCCTGGACTTCTACTTCTGCTTTTACTTTTGCTTCTGCTTCTGCTTCTGCTTCTGCTTCTGCTTCTGCTTCTGCTTCTACTTCTGCTTCTGCTTCTGCTTCTACTTCTGCTCTTG